ATGTCGATGTCAATGTAATCGACACCGGCATAATCACGTCGACATCATTTTCGACGTGCGACGATCAATAATTACAACCTTCTTTTCTCGAGCGATTCCGCCCCCCCCTTAAACTTGAGTCACACTTTAAGAAGGCGGGTAAATACGAATGGCGTAGGTCATTCACGAAGAACGGCGTATGTGTTGTCGATGCGTGCACCGAGTTATTAATGGTGAATTCCGCCATCGGCAAGAAAATTACTTTAACTCGCAAACGAGTGGACGTAACCTTTAAGTATCTTTTCGAGGACGTGTTAACACGTTCCGTCTGACCATCCTGAAACAGATGGTCAGAAGTTGACATCTTCAACCGTGTTCCAGATCAGGCGTAAGCCGTGTTTACCCACGATTCATCCAAGAAGTGTTATTTCGATCGCTGCGAATATACATTTCTTAAGGTTCGCGAACAACTTATGCTTGCGCATAAGTTAAGGAATCCTGATGAACGTGTGTTCTGTGGACTTGTACGTCCGCATTTTTATTCACAGCCCGGCTATGGACGAGAACATTGTTGAAGTAACTCGGTGCGAAGCCTCACCAATCGCAACAGATTTGTTACACATCTGTTGAACTTTGCACGGACGTTATTTAGCCCCTGTGGCATCACTAGCCACTTCCTAAGCATACCTCTGGGTGTTCACACTGCTGTGTACGGGATGTCCCGCTCACGTACGGAGATCTGATAGAATCCATCCATCAAATTCATGGACGAGAAGATGGTACTCTTTGCCATACCATCTATGATCACGTCCTTCCTCGGTATCGGTGTCTGAGCCGGTACCGTTACAGCATTCAATTTGTTGAACGCGTGCACTATCCGCCATCCTCCTGTTGCTTTTTGCACACAGAAGGTCGGAGAGCTGTGTGGGGATGTTGATTCCTTCACATTACCAGCAGCTGAGCGATGGGCAAAGAATTTGTCGATCACTGTGACGTTTTCACGAGGCAGTGGCAACGGCTTCATGATCTAGTAATTTGAGAACGGTTCGAGCTCGATCTCGAGTATAGTGCCTTTGTCCTTAGGCAACTCGCGAGGCACGATTTCATGGGAATGCGTCCTTTAATTCGATCAAATCTCTATACAAGAAATTTTCCTGGAGCTAATCCCAAGATTGAGAAGTGTATCGCTCAATCCGGGTCTTCTCATCGATAACACTCTCGTCCAACGATGAACTGCTAAGAACTCATTCGTTCTCAGTAAATCCCATCGCCGACCGAATTGACGAATATTCGTCTTCCGCGACGAGTACACAGATCTGCTTGATTTTGCCACAACGCAGAACACGTAAGAATCATTTAAGTTTTATAGTTGTCAATTTTAAGATCTCCTAAGTTAACCATGGAGGCGCAATCTGATCAAGCGTATAAGCGCCTACGCTTGATCCGTCGTTGACCAAGACGTATGATGTATCGGTTGCTCTGGGAAGTCACATCCGCAGGATGCTGGGGACTCACTTCCTAAGCATGTACCACATGAGGAACATCTTCTTTAAGTACGTAGGGACTCTTTTCCTTTACTTCTTCTGACAGTGGCTGCGCAACAACTGTCAGACAACGATCCTCTGCGGTCGAATCACGAGTCGACCTAGGACCTCCGCATTGCCGATTACCGGCTCTCACTTTTTTCTTTCTCGATGCTGCCTTCCCGGCATGCATCCCTGCTCCGATCAACTCGACCACGATTGATGGACCTTCGGCGCCGCCTGTGCATTTTTACAGTCGCCGGGAGCTTGCTACACAGTGTAGTGATCATCTACACCGCGTTCTTGAACAGTAGTGCTAACGACCGCACCACAAGTGAGTCCATCGCAATCACTCGCAGTACACCCACACGCTTGTGGGCGTTCCAAGACGTTCATCAAATGGCCATCTGATCAACAAGTGGCATGCATCTATAATATTCTATGCTGCCAGCTCACCATTGGCTCGTATCTCCTGAGCCAAGGCAACCCTAGGATGACGTCAAACTTGTCATTTAGGTAAAGTACGATGGAATCACCATCGTACTGTTCGCTTCCCGCGTGTAGTGGATTCCAGCTACATGCTTCTTCGAAGTGATCGATGCGCCTGTCGCTTGGCGCACCTTCATCCTTGTCAATGGGATCTCCCGCTCGATGATGGCCAAAGGGTTAGCCTCTAGTGACTGGTGACGAACAAAGTTGTTCGACGCCCCACAGTTAGCTAGGGCGCGAAGTGACAAGTCTTTTGTCACTTCCAATGTCAAGGTTATGAGAGATACCTCATCACTAGGTGCAGAGACACACAAGGACTGTGTGTCGGGAGCAACCTTCGTCAAGAGATTTGCAAATTCTCTTGATGTTGCTGGATCAGTAGGCGCTCCGCCCCTACTGACCCCGTCCATTTTTAGATGGTCAGCCTCGCTGTTGCGTCTTCGCAACAGCGACGGACCCTCGTCCTCCAGTATTTCTGGCTAGTCGACGACTACCGCGCTTAGTACCGCGAGGTTCTGAGCGAAGGACACTGCATTTATATGCATAGTGTCCTAGCTAGTGACAGCGATGACATCTCAGCAATCGCTTGTCGTTTGCAGGGCGAGATTTCTCGCCCTCGACTTGACAGAGGTCCATTGGCTCTGGACCTCCGACCGCTGGTCGTCTTTGAAGACGATGCGGGGTCAGCGTAGCGTGAGACAGGCTCACGCTAAAGACTTCTTGCTCCGCAGCATAAATTGACTCTGAAAGCGTCCTTAGCTCTCCGCGGAACAGTTGGTCCATGACGGAACCTTCTGAAAGCCCTCAAATGAAGATTGTGATCATCACAACTCACTTACGAAGTTCACTACTATGCAGCTTGCAAGGTAGCGCACATGTTGGCCGTTAGCGTGCACCTTTCGCTCACTCTGCTTGAGTTGCAGGATCTGTAAATGAGTCCCGAACTCTGCTCTGGGCGGCTCGAAGTCTTACTGAGCAGGGTCTTGAAGATCCTCAACGACCCAAAAACGTTTGGGTCGTGCAACCTGAGATTTAGGGCCCAAGTTCTGGCTTCCACTTCAAGCACGACTGAGCAAATGCAACCTGTATTCGCTCATCGTCGATGCGAAGAGCCTCGATGGAAACGTCCACCTCGACGAACCTTCTCAACAGAATAATCTTTTTCGACTACCCGGAACTTGGAGATCTCTAGTTATAGAGACTCCCGTCGACGCTCACGCGTCGGCTGAAGTACTGTGACTGTTGCCGTTTCAGTGCTTCAGCCCGCTGGTGATTGTGTTGATGCAACAAGGTCACCTGTGCTCGCGACTCATCTAGTTCTCGCTGCAAGAACTTGCTAATGACGGAATGCTGTTGGTCTCTATCCCTTGTGGATAGTACAGCCTAGATAGCTTCTTCGCCAACGGTCACACTCATTCGTTCGATCGCACTCCATTGGGAATCGCTCATATAGGAGTAGCTTTCACGGAACCCGTGAAAGCTGTCGCCTTTAACATCGTCCAACATGTTTATGTTGAGCGATGCGAGTGTGGTCCTTGGACGGACTACAAAGTGCTACCAGGTGTAACGGGGCACCGGCAATGACGTACTGGATGACCAGTACGGAGTTACTCTTACTGACAATAGTGAAGGTCAGTGCCCTGCTAACTCTGAACACTGCACAGAGGAAGGGTGAACGACTAAGACCAAGACTTAGTTCGTAAAAAAGTAAAACTTTTATTGAGTACAATCAGGTCCCTCATCTTTTTGTTCTTGTTTAGCCTGACTTAATTATATTGATATAACTAAACGTATGATGACGTCTACTCACCACCCATTGCGCGTCTGGCAGTGATTGGTGAATTGATATAATCACAATATCAACCAATGAGTAGGCCTTTCGGTTATCTCAACAATATCACTGTTCGTTCGTGATATTGTTTAAGGATATATTCAATGTAATATTTCGTGATATCGTTTTAGTGAAATATTCAATGTAATATTTCTTAGTTACCACTTGACACTACGGTAATCTCATGTAACGGTCTATCTCGTTCCAATGACTGTCTTTAGCACTACTGATTCCTAGGCGGTTTCAGTGCGCGTTCGGCAACTTTACGGCGGTGTATGTCGTCCAGTTGAGGTGAATGTAACGAGTCCTATGTTTAATATGCATCACAACACTATGGTGCAACAGTTTGTACATAAGCACAAGACTATGACGTTGGAAACGTGTATATAAGATTTTAGACTTCAAAGTCATCAACAATAACAAGCATTGGCGACGCGGGAGCACCGACAAATACACAAACATGTGGACGGTATCGTCGCATGCAATACATTGAGATATTGACTATTCCACCATCAAGAGCATCGCTCACAGCGGTGAGCCACGTACAATTACCAGATCACTCGACACCAACGTTGCTAATCTAGCTTAGGACACTCCATTCGTTTTGTACACCTCAAAAATGCTAAACAGACTAACGTTTGTAAGGTGTACAAGACGTCTGGATCTCCTCTTTACAACAGGGTTAATCACTGAAAGACTTTGCGCAGTGCTTTTGTTGCCAAGACGTCTCGTGCAACGCCTGGCATTTCAATCTGGGTAATTATGGCGCCCGTAACCGTTGTCGTCAGGTAGTCAACGACGCCATCTGTCGTCTCGTGGGAAACACCACATTAGATGTAGAGGTACATGATGAGCAATGAAGATATGGGTTCTTTGTAAATGACGCAGTTTTACACTGATATCAACTACTCACTCAGTTTTTGTTTTGAAGACGGCTTTGTCTGGCAGTGGCTGTAGTAGCTTTCGACCATCAATTTGTGTGTCACTGTAACTTAAAATGTGCAGAAGAGCGGCTGTTGGAACAACGTAAGTGTTGATCCGTTTCTGGTCACATTTGACACAGTGCAAAAGCAACGTCTCTGGTAAAAACACAAATGGCATGCGATGTAGCAGCTCAAGACAAAATGGACAAATCGAAATGAAGTCTAAGGGTCGTTTGCACTAGGACACACTGACCTTTACACACTTTCAAACGGCTGCATTGCTATGCTAATGACCATGCCGTGGCTGAGACTCTGCATGTCGGACAAGATTTCAAAAATGTTGGGTATGGCAAAGCAGCGGGTCGGCTCGTCGTCCTCCACTGCATCGTCATTAGGCAGCGGAATCTGGTAGTTTGCGGTGATTGCACGAAACTTGGTTGGCAAAAAAGCTTGCGGCTTCCACGTGACCAGGATCTCCGAAGTGTCGATGCCGTTCACAAAGAAAAGAGCAAAGTGGCCATATCGGCGCTCTAAGTCCCGCAGCAATTCGTGCACAGGATCGAACCCGATCATGACTGGAACTGCGCTCATGTCCATGTTCTTGTACACAGGTGCTACAAACGGGTGCTTTTTGCTGCTGTCGACGCGAACCCTTTTGGACGGAAGGTTTTCGGTGGCAAGCTGAAGCACGGCGTCAAATTCCATTTTTGACGACGCAAAAGCCGTTTTCCAGCCAGAAGATGACGCACCCGACGCTAGCCAAGAAACTAGGACGTCGTACGAAGCTTGAGCCAATGAAACAAGCCGCTGTACCACGACTTTGTCAGGCGTAAATCGCGTCCAGCTTGACAGACAGTCCATGTCTTCATAGTCAGCGGCAATAAACATTGCGGGGTGAGTACTTTGACTCGAAGTCGATGCTTCAAATCTCTTCAGAATCTCACGGTGCTTGTCCTCGTCCAAAGAACTGGTCAAGTCCACAATGAACGGAGCATTTTGCCAGTCAAATTTAGCAACCCGTTTCAAGAAACGAAGGAAGCCAGACAAAACTGAATGAGGCGTGGATGCAGCCGTCAGGAATACGTTGGCCACGAGGAGTTCGACCGCTTCGATAGACAACACGTTGCTCAACGCTTTATCGGCTAGCCATCGCTGGACAAGCCGAACAGTAGGGCCGTATGATGTGTTCTTTGTGTGTAGTGCATGCACCGTGCTTGCGTGCCTCAATAGGTAGTCGGCCTCACGCTTAACCGTCACATACTCGGGCGAGTGCACAAGAGCAAGCTTCTTTACTCCAGCTGCACCAGTCACAACGCTCAGCTCCTTCTCGCTACGAATTATCAAACGAAAGACGTAGCCGCTGATTAACACATCCACACAATCCTTGGCCACCTCACAGCGCAGGTTAAGGCGAGACTGGAGCTCGTGGCCAATATGGACATAAAATCCAGTCTTCGCAAACATCAATGCACTTTTTTCGTTTGGCCAGGCCGATGAGCGCTCGAACTTCACGTAAAGAACCAATGGCTCTAGCACAGTATTCACATGGGCCATTGGCGCAGCATCTATCTTCTCATTCTTAGAGTAAGCTAACGGATGTGGTTGGACAGGGAACAAACTCGTGTAGCGGAACGCGGGGTGGACTGGCAGAACATCCGAGACCTTCAGTGGCAACGACTCCATGGCACGCAATGTTTTTGCAAAGCTGTTGAAAATAACCCACAGCTTCGACACTGAGTTCATCGTCGATTCGAATGACGCATTGAATGCATTTGCTTTCCCTGAACCTGACGGTTCCTCGATGTCAAGTACCGAGTACAAAGCAGTGTTCGAAGTCTTGATCTGCGACGTCGTAAGCTGGGGACAATGCGCGGGTACAATGAAGTTTACAATCGCGTCCAGCACGCAGTGGCGGTTTTCGGTGCTGATTCCTTCCCACACCACAGCCTCAATAATGGCACCGTCCTTAAATCGACGCAGCTCTGACTTGCTTTTCCAGAAATGACGGAAGTCGGTGCTAGCTACCTTATCATCAGCCGGTGGGCCTTTGTCCACAATCCGCCACGCGTTGTCCGGGTTTATACGTAGCCCAATTGCCACCTTACGCGGCATCGGGAGCGAACCGTCATTCACACCCCACTCGACACTATCCTCAGACATGGGTCGAACAAGACTCACGCGATCCGTCAGGGCTCTCGACAGCACTGACGCAAGCTTGCGCAACCAGAACTGCTCAAGACCGATATCATTGATAGAGCGCTTCTCTTCCATAGTGTACGTGTCTTCACTATCGTTCACGGGAGTTGGCGCAGGAAACCAGTAGTACTGATCGTATTGAGTCCAAAACTCATGTTTGCTGATAAAAAGCGACCGGAAGTTATCCAAAGTACAGTTTTGCATTAACTTCACTGACTCTGTAGCAGCCTGCCGAATCTCCTCCCACGCGCCTAGCGTAACACGACCAAACAGATTCAAGCGACCCGACGAGTCCAAGAACACCAGGTCGTATGACTTGCAAAAGGTCTGCATTCCTTCAATCGTGAGTACCACGCCGTCTTCAGCTGGCGGAAACTGCAGCGGGTCGTTTTCGAGTTCGTGAACAGCAAGGAACTGCATCAGCACTTTGAACATTTGGTCCGATGGCGTCTGCGCATTAATTCGCTTCGTCTGATACAGATACAGCAGCAGCATTGACAGCAAAAAGCCATTTATCGAGTCCATGGCTTTGTGATACCCTCGTTGCCGTAGCCACACCTTGGCCAGAATACACGCTTCAGCAAAGTGGGGAGCCTCTTTCAACACCGAATGAAGCTCTTTTGTGTGTTGCCGTACCATCATGTCTTCCAAAATGGAGTTGTTGTACAGTGGCGTCCCGCACTGCTCCATCTCCTGTTCCGTCATATCCACTTCATGCTTGACATTGTTCCTAGATGGCACAAGCTTGGCCAGTTTGAAATGATCTGTCGTGACGACAGGCAAAAGTTGGACACGCACTTGCACGCCTTTCAAGCCATGTTGACGCAAAAACGACGGCGCTACCGTCAACAACACCACCGGCTTTTCATACTCGCCATGCCACGTCTGCAGTGTCACGTGCTGAATTATGTCACAATGACGTTGCAACTCGGACACCAAAACGCCCAGGTACAGGTTGCGCTTGTCGAAGTACCGGTAATTACTAAAGTCTTTGGCCACAAAGCACGTTACAGGCATTTCAACCGCCACGTCCACAGTTAATACGCCATAGTCGGACATATTTTTTGCCCGGGTATACGCCATTGTTTGTAGAATGTAGCTCCCCACAACATCAAGACGACTGGGACGCTGGAACGGCAAGACAATCTCTTTCCGCTTAATGTGATTGCGCACAAAGAGGCCGCGCGCTTGCAGTGCGTCTTGTGTCACCTGCTGATCCTGTATACTGTGCACAATCTCTTTGACTTGAAATAGCAGCGTCTGGAGACCGGACGTGGCTTTAGCACTCAGTTTGCGACCCGCAGCGGCCAAGAGCTCATCCGTTTGGAGGCGGAAAAAAGACGCACGGTAGGAGCTACTAGGGTCAGCAGCGCGCAGGTGGTTCAGCTCCTTCGTATTGGGCAGCGCGTACTTGGACAGCGCCTTGCGCAGCTCCAACGAAGACGACGTCGTCATGGAGATTTGTTAGACTTGACGACAACCAACCAGTCAATGACTACCATTCAAGCCGCAGTAGTGGTGTGTAGGTTGCGCGAAGGTGGTCTAAAACTCAAGAAGGACCGTGTTTTGTGTGCTATTTTGTGCCGACGTGAGGACTAAATATTTAGTAGCATGCAAATTGCTTTTTCTTGAAAGCGAGGCGCCCCCAATCGCTACAATTGGATAAAAAAACTCCTGTAGAAATCGGAGTTGGCCCACATGGATTCCCTCGTGACAGTGACCTGCTCCTCGAACCTACACCTGTCAAACTCGCTGTAACATCTATCACGAGGTATCGATTATCTCGGTCGTTTCCCTTTCATCACTCACCATTCCGCACGGAGCGACGCCATTGCCATCACTCATGAGCTCTCGTCGTGCAGGCGCTCCTCGCGGCAGCTCCAGTCGGAAACAGGCGCTCGAGGACATTAAACGCATGCGTGACGGAGATGCGTCAGCCGTTGCCGTGTCCGGCTCTCGCTTGGCGCAGTACAAGCCCCAGGAGGACAGTATTTACAAGGCCATGTCGGAGCAAGAGTACGAAGATCTGGTGCGTCAGCGACGTCAAGGCCTCCCATTCGTCGAAAATGACGACGGGGAAATGGGTTACTACGACGACGGAGAGGAGCAGTTCTTTGAATCGGACGGAGACGACGACGATGCAGCAGCAGCAGGAAACAGCCGCGCGAGCAAGCACAAGAGTAACGATAGCGACGATGCGAGCGGCAAGAAGCGCAGTGCCGGTGCGCTGTCGTCTTCGTATGTACGACGTGCAAAGAAGATGCAGCGAGCCAAGCTGGGGGGAGCTGGGGCAGGAGGAGAAGGACAGAAGATTGCTAACCTCTTTTTCTCCAAGTCGACGTCAACGGGACAAACGCTGCACAAGGACCGGAGAAGCGGACACGCAGGAACAAGCACGGGTGCTTCTACTCGTGCTAAGTACGATATGGATCTTGATAGTTTACTGGACGACTTGACGAGCAACCCGACCGCGTCGCGACAGGGCTATGTCCCACCTGTGTCGTACTCGACCGGATCCTTGACGTTTCCGTCGAGAGCGACGTCTGCTTCGAGTGTGCAACCACGTGGTGCTGCAGTGACTGCGAAGTCGGTAGTGTCGAGTGTAGACGAAGACGAGGACGAGACAATGGAGGAGAGTGGAGACTTGGATGAGGGGCTGATTGAGCATGATGAGATGGACGGAGACGATGTGGAAGATGAGAGAGCAGATGAAGCTGAGCACAACCACGTGTCGGAAAGTGAGCAGAATGGAGATGAGCTGGAGACCGCTGATAGAAGTGTAGACAAGCCGGTGATGAGTAAGAGGGAGAGGATGCTGCAGAAAGCTCGGGAAGCACGACTGCAGTCGTCGGCACCGACTGCACGAGCTCTTTCTGCTCCGGTGGAGCCCAAGAACCGATTGGAGGATAGGACACAGGTGACTGCTGTGCCGTCTAATGAAGTGACGGAATGGTGGCAGGTTGGTGGAGATCAGTCGAATGATATTAGCATGGCAGACGCTAGCTCAGTAGAGAATGCCGAGGCCGAAGCATCACCTGTTGCGGTAGACTCAGTCCAGATGTACTGGATGGACGCAGTTGAAGTGCGCGAGCGTCCAGGCAAGATCTACCTTATTGGCAAAATGAAGGTCGCGAGTCCTGATGGATCAAACAAGCCCCCTATGTACAAGAGCTGCTGTGTGGTCGTGAACAACTTGCAACGATACATGTACCTTGTTCCGAAAGGCACATCGCTGATTGACCTTAGTAAAAATGAGCAGCAAGAGGTTTGGATGAAAATGCACGAGGAAATTCACAACGTTCTGGTTCCTTCCTGTATCACTAGCAAACGTGATCAGGAAGAATTCAGGACCAAACTGGTAGAGCGCAATTACGCGTTCGAGGAAGCCAGCATTCCACGTGGCAAGAACCTGTATCTGAAGGTCAAATATCTTAGCAAGTATCCTGCACCGCCGACCGACTTTTGCTCGCGTGGTGGGAAGACGTTCTCTCGTATTTGTGGGGCGTTTACGAGACCGCTGGAAAACTTCCTGCTGACTCGCCGGCTTTTGGGGCCAGGATGGGTTGAAATCAGTAATGTTCGCAAGTGCACCGAAGGCGTCAGTTTCTGCAAGGCGGAGTACGAGACATTCGACCCGAAGAATGTTACCCCTATTGCTAGCGGCATGGCCGCCCCTCCACTCACAGTGATGAGCATTAGTCTTAAAAGCGTTTGCCACCCCATGACTGGCAAGCACGAGATAGTAGCGCTTTCTGCTATCACTGAGACTGGTATTAGCGCCGAAGGAGCTGGCAAGGGTAGAAATGGTGCACGTCATACATTATCACACTTCACGGCGATTCGACCGCTGGATGGAAACAGTGGCTTTCCCCAGTCATTCGCAGAAGCAGCTAAGAGAGATGATCGCTTTGGCACGAAAGCTGAAAATGGCGCGCTGAGCATAAATAGTGAGCGTCTGCGTGTGGAAATAAACGAGCGCGTAATGCTAAGCTACTTTCTCACGCGTGTTCAGCTAGAAGACCCGGACGTCATCGTCGGCCACAACTTGCACAAGTACGGACTGGAGCTGCTGATCTCGCGAATTGACAATTTTAAGCTTGGCGGGCTGTGGTCAAAGCTTACACGACTACGTCGTGGCCGTCTAAATCCGATGAATGTTGGTGAAGGATGGAACGAGTACAGGATGGACGACATGGTCAATGGTCGACTCTTCTGCGATACGTATGTGTCGTCAAAGGAGTTGCTTCCTTCACAAAATAACTACACTCTTTCATTTTTGGTGGAAGAACACCTGCACAAGCAGCGCCTGGATGTCGAGATGACCGAGATCCCTCAAATTCTACTTGGTGGTCCCGATAATTTCGTCAAGTTCTTGCGGCATACATTGGATGATGCCATGTTCGTATTGCATCTAATGCACAAGCTTGAAATTTTACCGCTGTCGAAACACCTGTCCAACTTGTGTGGTTACTTGTGGACGCGAACGCTGGAGGCAAACAAACGTGCAGAGCGAATCGAGTATTTGCTGCTCCACGAATTCAGTCGGCCAAAAAACAAATTTATTGTCCCGGAAAAGTACAAAACGAGAACGGACGCTGACAAACTGAACAAGAAACGAGAGGCTTCTTATGCAGGTGGTATGGTGTTTGCGCCGAAGAAGGGCCTGTACGACAACTTCGTCGTGCTGCTGGATTTCATGAGTCTGTACCCCTCCATCATCCGCGTAAGTGTCTGGTGCTCGAATACGACATAATTTGCAACATGACTAACCGAGAAATATCGTAATTGCAGGAATACAACATTTGTTTCACCACTGTAGAACGACAGCTGATCACGGATGTGCCAGATGTGTCGTCGAAGAGAAAGAAGAAATCAAAGCCGACGCCTCAACCTGAGAACGATGACGTTGTGGACGATAACGAAATGGATGAACACCTTGATTGCGCCGCTGATCCCAGCGCTGAGTCAGAAATTCCAGCCTTACCTAGTTGCGCAAGCGAACCCGGCATTTTGCCGGCTGTCATCAAGCGTTTACTGGAGTCGCGGAAACAAGTGAAACTGCAGCTGAAAATTGAACAGAAGGAGGGCAACCTGGAGAAGGCAATCCTACTCGATATTCGTCAGAAGGCAATCAAACTGACAGCAAATTCGATGTACGGCTGTTTGGGGTTTCGCTTTTCTAGGTTTTACGCAAAACCTATTGCGGCGTTGATTACATCGACGGGTCGGCAAACGCTGCAGAGAGCCAAAGAGGTGGCAGAGCAAGAGTGTGGCTACGATGTCGTGTACGGTGATACGGATTCTATCATGGTGGACTCGCGCACCGAAATCCTCGATGAAGCCAAGCGCATTGGTCGCGAAATTCAGACGCAGTGTAACAAGCACTTCAGATTACTGGAACTTGAAGTCGATTACATTTTCAAGCGGATTCTGCTCCTGAATAAAAAGAAGTACGCGGCACTGGTGCTCAAGGAGCGGCCCAACTGCGAGCCCACTTTCGACAAGGAGGTTAAGGGTCTTGACATGGTGCGTCGCGATTGGTGTGTCATCTCCAAGACGGTGGGCAATGAAGTGCTCGACTTCATCTTGTCTGGTAAGTCTCGTGACGATGTGGTGGAAAGCATCCATGAGCATCTGGAACATGTGGCAGAGCGCGTGCGCTCGGGAAAGGAACCCATTGAACAGTTCGTCATCACAAAGAGTTTGAATAAGCTACCTGAGCAGTACCCCGACCGTGCAAAACAATACCACGTGCAAGTCGCGATCGCACTGCGTGCTCTGGGAAAGCCCGTTGGAGTAGGGACCCATATTCCGTACGTGCTTTGCAAGGAGGAAGAGCCTGGGAGTGGACGTCGTGCCTACCATCCAGACGAGGTAAAGCGGGCAGGCGAGAAGCTCCACATCGATGTCGAGTGGTACCTTGAATCACAGATTCACCCGCCAGTAAATCGACTGTGCGCCCACATTGAAGGAACATCGAGTCCGCAGCTAGCACACTGCTTGGGTCTCGACACAGCGAAATTCTCGCACTCTGTCAGTCATTTTGGCGAAGAGAATGACGAGGGCGACGCAATTCCAAGCGTTCTGCAGAATGACGCTGACCGTTTCAAGGATTGCATTCATCTCGAGATCACTTGCGATCGATGTGAAATGGCTAGTGCTTTTCCTGGCGTGTTTTGCACGTCTGAGAAAGACAGCTCCGTTTCTAGTGGACTGCTTTGTCCAGTATGTAAAGCGAACTTTTGGGGTTTTGATCAGGAAGGTATTTACGGAAACGTAGGCGATGACTTCCAGGCAGTGCTGTCGAACCGTCTCCACCTTGCGACGCGCCAAGCGACGAAGAGATACTACGAAGCGTGGACGATCTGCTCTGATGTAATGTGCAAGATGCGCACCCAAAAGCAGTCACTTCGTGGCAATGGCAATATCTGCTCGGCGGCAGGGTGCAGGGCAACGACTGTTCTCGAATATCCGGATAGCGCGCTGTACACGCAGCTCAAGTATTTCGAATCCCTCTTTGATGCTGAGCGTGCTCAAAAGAAGCTGCGCGAGGAGAAGGAACGCGTATCAGGCACAAATACAAACGTGGAGCCTCCAGCGCTTTCTGAGCGTCATTGTGCTGTATTACGAAAGCTGCTTTCCCAGGCCGAGGAGGTACGGGTCATCAAATCACACGTCTGTCTATTTGCTTGTTGTACGTGTCGCTTTTCTAATGGTTGCTGTCTTGACGTTCGATTGCACAGGCTGTCCATCGAGACGACTACAACTGGATCAAGCCTTCTCTGTGGCAGACGCTGTTCACGTAACGACACGTATGGCCATCTCTTTTATCCGCGGTGGTACCGGCGCTGTCGAGAATTATGGTTTAGCAATGCATACTACATGTGCTCGTGTGTAAGATTCATCCAGCATGTTTCGTGCTTTGTTGTTAATAGCAGAAACGCCCGTACAGAAACCGATCGCTGAGCAGTTCCAAAACTCGGAAGATGGGTCAAACTTCGAGGATTGAATATGCTGTGGAAAAAGTCCGCACTGTTGCTAAAAATGGCATGACTGACTAACTGAAAGGTAGAAGACGTCCACTTCAACGTGCGATAACTGAACGATCGACGCGAAAACGGTTTTGCTGCGTCTATTCCCAAAGTTGATGGAGAACGACTACGCGTGGTCGTGGATGGCGTCAGAGTCTCTTGTATTCGCGATCTTGCGTGAGGCAACATGTCTGACTTCACGGATGATGAAGATCGACAGCTTGTTCAGCTTGCACTGGTCTTCTCGCACAGTCGACGACAGATACTGTGGGACACACTGACTCAGCAGATGAAAGGCTCGAAGAAACCGAAGGAAGCGCTACGGCAGCGTCTGAAAACTCTCAAACGGACACACGGTCGAGATCTTGAAACCTTCCCGGCGTGGTTCTTCAGGACGAAGTTTGCTACGGAAATCAACCGCCGTCGTCGTGCTCACGTCTATCGGAAGTCTGCTATGCGCAAAAAAAACAAGCTAGCACCAACAAGAGGAAGTCAGTACATACCGCAAGGACGTGCTCGGCGTGAATCAGAAGCCGCACTGCATCCGAATGGTCTACTGTCAATCCAAACGCCAAGGGAGTTTGCGGAATCCTCACCGCTCGAGATGTCGGCGTTGTTCTCAGAGTGCGCGACAGTCGAGTCGCCTGCTTCGCTACTATTGCTCGCATCTGTTGCAGCTTTTGAGCATTGAAGCAACAAGAACGCCTCGATGAATAGCTTCCGTGTTTTGAGCGGACCGCAGTACTCACTATGATCATTTGTGCGTTTAGAAAGCAGCCGATGGCGTGGCAAATGTTGCTATTCGCGATGTCGTATCAGCTTGATGCACTTCTTTTCGATTCGCAGGGTTGAAAGCTCAAGCAATTTTCAGCAAGACACTTCAGTATGCGGGAGGTGTCAGATCATGTGCATCCAAAAGACACGGCTTGCAAACACGCGTCTACACTCACCTCTTTCAGCGAGCTAATGAGCCTCGAACCCTGTAATCGTGCCGCTTCGATTCGTCATCTTGCGCCAACCTTGATGGATGAAAAGCCTGAAACTCTTCACTACTTTGGAATTTGAGCGTACACAGAGAAGCGTTGCGCAAGTTCTGTACAGAGCTCACACACTGCAGCTAATTTGCTGCAGCAGCAGACTTCATCCGATGACGTGTTTACCTGATTGACCCAGACGTGATTTTGACACCGGCAGAGCGATGCCAGCGCCACCTCCAGTTTAACTTTGAGTGTGAGTGGCTACACCACCACCGGGACAAGCCAGTGACTCCTGTGCTAAGCTCTATCAGCTCAGCTGTGAAACCAACTCTTTCCTTCGTCCTTTTCAGGAGGCCGACTCGTAGACAGAAGCGACGGAAGCTCTGGTGCAGAAGATGGAACACTCACTGACGTAATGACCGACAGCCTTGCAACGTACCAAGTCTTGTTCAGCCAAGCTTTATCCTGCGACTCCGACGACCTTACTATAGCAGCATGCAACCAGCTGCTTGAACGATGTCTGACTTTTTGTTCTCCAAGACGTCATGCTGTAATGGTCGATGCCAATAAGGGTGACGAGTCAAAGAAGTGCAGCAAGGTACCGTGACCATCCATTGGGCTAGCAAACATACGTCCAACTACCGACGCACGACCTTGTACTCCTTCGACTCGAACGGTCGAACGTGGCAATGTATCCTTTCGTTCAACTTCCAGAAGCAACACATACACATCACCGGAACATCACAACAGTTGGAAAGCGTCGCGATTGCCACTTCTTGACGTTGCAGGAAGTAGCGCTACAGCTGCTTAGCTCAATGCATCGCAAATTCGACTACACTAGCCAAGATCTTGTGCTGTTGAAGAATTGGAATCGCAAGCAACACGTTTTCGAGACAGACGTAACATCACCATCGACGTACTTTTGTTTCATCCCGCGACGTAAATCGCAGAATTGTCCGCTGCTTACTAAATCCAAACGAGACATCGAACAAGCATGGTCTTGACGATTGCATTGAATGTATGGCATTCCTCTCTGCATTGTGCCCGTTTTGTAACTCTTGAGAGAACAAAAAACTATGCGTGACAAGACCTTCTTCGGGATTGTAACAAAGCTTCAAAGTCGGGGAGCAAGTCGAACGACCCCTTTGGACTTGGGCGATGGTGGCAAGCAAATAGAGCGGAGGCCCGCATATACGTACATGCATTACACTTCGAGTCCGTTGGATTTCAACGACTTGGCTGCCAGAGTCCGCAGGTACTCCATGTCGTATTGATTGCGGTCGAACTCGCACTTGTCTGTCGCTTTATCAATCGTCCTGAGCATCATCTCATCTCGCTCGTCCGCCTGCCTCGGTTCCACCGCGGAGACTACTAGACCTTTTGCCGTTCTAAAACATCTGAGAGCTTCCGTATAGTTGTGTAGTGCGTGGTACAGCTGGCCCTTGCGTATATATGTGACAACATATTTGCCATTCAATCGAAGAGCTTCATCACAGTGAGTAAGTCCCTGCACGTAATTTCGCTGTATCTCCAGGCAGCCACACGCGATATTCAAGTGACACGAAATCTCGAGCTAGCGAAACGCATAAACAGTAGTTAAAGCCAACATGCCCATGTACACCTGGCATCTCATCGACTTACCTCTCGAAGAACAGATAAAACTACATCGTCGTTTGCGGAGCCTACGTCCGGCCGTGCTCGCACCGCTTTCAGGCATCCCAACACAATCTGAAACTTTTTCGTCGAATAGCCGTAGAACCCTTCGACAGCTAACACGTTGGCCGCTTCAAACGCCGATTGAATCTGCTCAAGTGCTTCTTTCAGTGTCCGTCCTTCTGTGCATGCAGATATCGCCTCCTCGACCTTGTTCTTGTCTGCTCATCATGAAATCGACGTGTCAAGAAAACCACCAAATCAACTTGCTCTGTATCACCAGCTTACCAGCGGACGCATCGCCTTCAGCAAGCAGCTTCGTCTTGACGCGTTCCAAAGCCTCTTTTGCTTTGCCATGCTTTGTATCCTGATTCATATTCTGTGTCACTCAGCATTACACTAACCAGCAGTTAAGGCAAAGCGACGTACCGTGTTTGCAATTCGGTTGTAATGCAGCATCGCCAACAGTGGAGCGTCCATTTCTTCAAATGCTTCGCCTCGCTTGAGCCACGCACTCAACTGCCCATCATCTCGAAGCAAAACTTCCTTGAACGCCTCAGTGGCTGCAGCCAGTCGATTTTCTCCAAATTCGCAGGTACCGATTCCCACGTAAATATCGTTGTAAAACGTCTTGATAATGTCCAGCGGATCGTCTGCTTTCAGCAACGAACCGTTTGTGTTCTTCTTGGGACTGCTCATTTGCTTCTCGTTGCAACATCGTCGCTCCGGTTCGTAGCCGCACCGCTTATCCTGTATGAATACAGGACCCTCCGAATCCTGCTTTTTCGATGTTGCAAGCCATGTCGTCTCGGCTGTTTGTAACGCGGGCGCCAACGCCTCCAACTCCGCAATAGCAGCTAAAGCAGTCTGATACCCCTTTTTTGCAGCTTTCCAATCCTGCTTTTCATCCGCAAGTATCCTGTCTCCTAATCGACGATTTGTCAAAATCTGTTGCAGTAGCTCGTGCTTTCGGGCGAAAAGCTTTGCTTGCATCTGCAACTCAGCAGCAGCAGCTTTCTCGGCCTCAGCATCCACAACGACAGCAACCCTGTCTGTTTCTTGACAGCTGCCTTTGCGCGTCTTTCTCTTGAGCTTCAAAGCTGCCACTGCAGCTTGAGCCGCCAAGATATCGGCTGACTGCTGGGCTGCCTGCGTGGCGGAGCTCTCGATGTTTTCCTTGGCCTGTAGCTGTTTCTTCAACTGTCTCTGCTGCGCTTCACGCTTCTCAGTTTCATCGACACGCTCGAGCTCCTTCTCAACGTCGAACGCAGCCCATGACGCATACGAAGTGCTGCGCATGATAGTAACAACGAAGAATACTGGATAACGAAATGGTGCAGTGAATCAGCGATCCGTTTGATCAACCCAACAGCAACATAAGAACAAATCAAGATCCAGCAGCATAAAACGACGAGCACGGTGCAATTCATCATTACCTGAAAAAAAACAAGAGCTAAAGCAGACTACCTTATCCTGCAAAAAGCTACAAAAAGACCTCGCGCGAACTGCTCAGGACAGCAGCATAAGACCTACCTACCACCAGGAGCTCAGCTGCTCCACACGACTAGAGCTACGACCCACATTCCACATCCTGCTCCTTCACCAAACCTTCATCCTGCCCTCTCTCTGCTCCTTCACTGCGTAGACGCATTGTCCACAATCCTGCTGGCCACTGCCTTCGTCACGTCTCGGCCAATGTCCCTAGCGACGCCACTAATGTCAGCAAGGACTGTCCCGCTGTTGTTTACTGCTTCTTTCATGGCGCGATCAATGCGCGACTCTTGCGACTTGAGAAACGGGGCCAGAAAGTGCAGGTAGAGAAACGACGCGCCGAGCGTCGACGGCATAAAGAGCCAGAGGAGAAAGCCCAGTTTAAACGCATAGTAAAAGGGGATCCAGTACAGTAGAAAGTCGGCAAAGACCTCGACGAGGATGAAACAGGCGTAGACGACCCAGTACGTGAGCCACTGCACGTCGTCCTTCTTGTCGTTCGACTCAATGGCTCGGAACGAGCAGAATGCAGGGTACACAAACCCCACGACATTGCAAATAAGCCCTGCCCCAAACCCGACGAGCAGCAGCAGCAGCACGAGCGCAGCGCCACTGGCCACGAGGTACAGCTTCTCGACGCCCGTCGCGTCCTGTGCGGACTGGAGCACGGGGAACTTTTCCAGGTCTTTTGCCCACTTGTCCATGTACACTTGCACCTTTTCCATGTTACGCAAGACTCGCGAGGTACTGAAGCTGGAGGGAAGGGGTACGCGAGTGTGGTGATTCAAGAGTGAGCAAGAGGGGCATCGACTGGCGCTGTCGGAGTGACGCGGACCTGTCAAAGTCGATATGACGCCGTGCCAAACGGACGCGTTGGAGAATCCCTGCGATGACTGTGGGTGTGATGGAGATGGTTGCGGAAATACTGGGTGGTTTGGAACGTACGTTATTGTGCGGGGAAGCTGGTGCGTAATAAAAACCACGCGGGCAACGTGTGACCCATATCGGATTAAAGAGGGCTGACAGAACGGTGGTAGCTAGTTACCACGGGATACGACTGACTATTGGGTGCTGAGGGGGGAGGGTACAGCAATGAAAAAGAGGTACCCTGCGTGGCAGAATCACGTCGGAACTGGTGAATGACTCGGGTGCGTCACTTGTGTGAGTTCACACCAAACAACAAACTCGTTCAGAACGAACGTTAACACGCACGACTGCAATCGGTCAGCTTCACATGGCAGCTGCATATGTGTGCCTCCATCATAACTCGTCGTCTAATGAACGTGTGCCAAGTGATTTCCAATCACGAGATCATCTTTTGGTTGCAAAGCAATGTTAATAATAACAACCCTTCGTATCGCTGGTCTGCCTTCTGCATCCCGACCCCAGTCAGAACATTTTTTCCCTGGTCCACCACGAGAATAACCAGTCCAGCAAGGGAGTGCACTGCACAATAAGAGCAGTCAAATGACTAGGCGTAGACCGCAAAATGCGGCACTCAACCGTTAAACTAAAGAACCCATTTGACAAAGCGCCAGTGCCTACTAATCCATGCTGCATCCAAAGCTCATCCATCCTGAGCTCTTGCGATCAGCAACTCAAAAGTCCGAGCAGCGACCGTTCCGTTCCCAATCCCCAAACCTCGTGGGTTCCTTCAGCTTTCCTCCACGCATCGGTCCACCGTATTCGACCCCGGATGGACCCAAGGCCACGTCGTCGTCCTCTTCGTCGTCATCTTCTTCGTCGTCAAGACCGATTCCAGTAGCTACAAAGGTGCTTGTCCCGTGATTCGGGTTCAGCGTGACCACATCATCTTCGTCCTTGATCGTTTTGGAAGAATAAAAGCGAAGACGCAGCGGGTGTCGGGTAACGATAGAGACCAAGGCACGCGTCTGCTTGGAGCTGGAGAACAGCAGCACTCGTCGCAGCGCCATGATTCGCTTATTGTGTAAATGGCGCAAGGTGATTGAATAGAAAGCGTGTTTGGTTGGTGTGGTCGAACATGACGAATCAGAGCATGTCATGTCGCTTGAATGTGGATGAAAGAGATGTTCACGCTAGGACTTGTGCTTCAAGTACGGTGATGCGACTCAATCGACTGACTGCTATGGAAAGCCTGGTTTGAGATAGAATAATTAAGAAGTGAGTGAACAAGCGAGGCTGAGACTGTGCTAAAACGTGAGGTCATAGCTTGCAAAGAGAAGAAAATCGAGCTGAAGACAGAGTCGGTAGATTCTGCTTTTGTATGTAAGGTAGATTCTAAGGCCGTAGATACCAATGAGAACGTGTTGGATGTCTTGTAGCATGTTTTGGGCATCAGAGCAAACACTATTTGTAAACAAAGACACGCGGATCTTTCTGCCATAAGGAGGCGACAATCTCATTCTTTTCTCGTCCAACTCATGGAATTATTTTACGTAGCGGTATAAATGTTGAAGGACAAAGACCGAAGCAAGTCGTGCGACGTCGCCAGAGGCATGCTCCTGAAGGCATCAATTTGAAACAGTGCACAACCGTGTTTCTTCCATTCATAAAAATAATGATCTGAATTGTTTTTACAGATGATCATGTAAAAAAAGCTTCCATTTGATCTCTGGACATAGTGTATTGAATGACATGCTAATGTAGGCAACAGCCCAAGGTTGCTAAGCGCGGCACGATTGCTTGAAGACGTCCAGTCTGTCTTAACAGGATGATCTATTCCAAGAGGATCCATCATCCATGTCAAAAAGACAGCTTTTGATTGGGCTCTAGGTTTGACAAAAAGCACTTTGCTCGTGCGGAACTTCTCAAACTGGCGGCAACGACAAAGTTGCACGAAGAAAGCAAAATTGCACAGCTAGTCAGTGTAGCATGGACACCACGCTTATTGTTTCGGGCTAACATAGAAATTGGCGTTTGTGTGCGCTTCGTATCATCGTACTGCATATACCATTGCTTGATGTTGCATCATTTCAGCTGAGGTGTTGCGATCGCAAACAATGCTCGACACATGAGCACGAAATTCTCCTCATGACTTGGTCGCCTTCTACTCTGCATCCTACAACGACTTGCTCACGACAGCCAATAAGCCGCGACAGTCGCCACTACGAGTACAATGCCGATACCGTACACAGTCGTGGTCCAGTCTTCTATCACTGCTCCATTGCCCGACACGGTTTCCCCTTTTGTACCCGACGACGACGTCGTTGTCCCCTCTCCATCCGTCGGCAGTCGTCGTAGCAATTCACGGTCTCGCTCTCGCGCCTTTTGCAATGCTACCAGATCCGGGAACAAGTTGCGAAATACGGCATTGCCACAATTGGTCTCCAGTGACGCCGCCGCGAATTTCCGCTTCTGCGCATCCGTAGTACTAATACTGCCCAACGTCGCCTGATTCTCGAGCTACAAAAATAGCAGACAAAAATGATAAAAGTTAGCCCGACTGCAGCAAAGCAAAAAAGTACTACTTAAAGCTCTCCAAGTACTAATTTGACGAATTACTACGATCAGATCCCTCTTACCATAAACGAATAGAGACCCGTAAGAATGGAGCTAACTGACCACATGGGATTCCACGTTTCTGGGTGAAAGTCCGACATACTCAGACACAGTCTCTGATTTGTCTTAAACCGACCGTTTGGCGTAAGCATCAGTACCGACGGAGGCTTCATCGGGTACTCAGGCGGGAACTTGAGTTTGCCGTGAAAGTAGCCATCTTCATACGGCGTACCCTTCGTGCCTGTGATCACATAGTGCCACTCGAGGATGTTTGTCTCAAGGGGAACCGCTCGGATGTAGTCCACGGGTTTGCGCTGCATTGCCAGGTACTCTTTACGGAGGCGCTTGGTCGCCATCGCGGACGCCATGGCTGTGGCCGAACTAGTCCCCTAAAACCAAATACAGTGCACTGATGGTCCCGTCTTTTGTATGCCAAGAAATAGAATAGAATAGAGGGTGTGCTATTTCTATTCTATCCTGTTGGCACTCATTTCATGGCTTAGGAAGTGCGGTCAAAAGCAGAAATGTTGAGGTCGATTTCTATTTAGAAGCCACCTATTAATGGAATATTCAGTCAAGAATAAATGTCTACTTCTGCCTTTTTGCCTGCTATTTTGTATTTGTACACTTCATTATTCGTGCACTTGAGCTTTGTCGCATGGATTTCAGGGTCTTTTCGTAAAAGTAGCCGAGAAGTTCAGCAAGGAGTAACCCAGAAAGTCATTTCGGCGTCATGTCTCCTATCATCATCCAGATTCTTGCCTTAGGCTCGACACTACATGAAGTCGCCGCGTCTGCTTTCTCCAAATGGATCGTTTCGTGACATTGCTACTTCTCCTTTGGTTATGGTCTAGCTAGGCACACGAACTTGTGTATGTAGAATACCAGTGAGCTTCTTCATACCCATCGCAACAAAAGAGGCACAAGCAGACTAGTTGCCTTCACTGAATTGCATATCGGTATGGCACCTCTCTAAGAAATCACAGTCATCGTCGTCTACGGCGTGTGTACCGCACCTGACTCGCTTCGTGAATGCGCTCGCACACCGCGCGCGAGAAACCCGTGATAATGCGGCAGTATTTAGAGTATTTATCCGTGTCGGGTGGCTGCCGTATCTTTAGAGCCTTACCTTCGTCTTGGCGTTGTGCTCGTGATCGGAAAAACGTAGACACTCCTCTCTTGACACAGAACTGTATTCGCATTGAGATGAAAGTCCAAGGGGTGTTGCGTTGCGTGGTTCTCAAACATCATGTGGCATCGTGGCACCACAAGCTCTGGTGTGCCTGGCAGGATCAGAGGCCGTACGTTTACTAGTTTACGAGCTGGATGTTTGCTGCGAATAAACCGAATTGCGTTAGCGCAGCCCAACAGCAGATGTGCCGCGTGGTCAAATGTTCCGGATCGACTACTTTTTGAGAACTCGGCTGCCCGTCGACAGGGAAATACCTACTACGATTAGGCACCTCGTGCCGTGCTGTCATTGTTCGCAACGATCGAATCGACTTACGGAACAGTAAATCTACAGTGTACATGTACCGTACCCGTGGAAAAGATGCTCGACTTGGTGGAGTTGGAGATGGACCCACCGTAAAGTATGCGTGGCGTAATCTTCCCGTGAATATGCAAGCGAAACTCGCATGAGTAGCCAGTTAGTTAATCCCTCGTCTGGTGAGCCGTAAGCTCGTCACACTCTACAGCGAGGGTCGTACAACGATGTGTTCCAATTACACAGAGGCAAGCAGACGTGTGGTTGTGGTGTCAGCGATCAAGATGCCGATCATGTACTTCTGGGAACTGTCTGCGCGGCTGCAATTTTGATCTTCAAGTTACGATTCTCCAATCGTGGAGAGCGGATGATGTGAGCTAAGATCCAGGACTTCGGCGCCCCTCTACCATCTTCTCGTCTTGAATGTGTAGGAGTGACATCGAGGCGAACATGGTCGGAAAAAGTAAACGCAGATCAGTATCAAGGATCCCGGCTGCGGACAGCGTCAAAGCCTTTGTAGGCGCTTTTCTACAGACTCAGATACGGACGGCGCAAATCGGCATGAGAGTGCCTTGACGCCAAGTCTGCAAAGACCTGATGGACAGCACTTTTTCAGTAGGTGCGTAACAGCTTTAGAGCCTTTGTATCCCTCGACATGCGTCAACACGTTACACGGGCATGGCAAGATACATCAGCAGCTCAGTAATTCAGACTGAAAATGGCAACAAGTCAATCAAACTCTGAACAAATAAAAATCAATGAGAGAGCCTCGAGATTCAGCGACAAATACGAAGCCTGTGTTGTGCGCATACAGTTCTCGTGCTTTTTCTTCACGACCGGAGCACCGTTAATCTAGCGGACAATGACTGCGTGTTCTACATACATTCGTTGCAACGTGGAACGTGTATCGGTGATGAAAGCGACATTGTGTCCAGCTCAAACTGTGACGAAGAGATTTCTACGAGAGTATCGCGAAAGGCTCATCCCGCACGTACTTTTGTTCCACTGTAGTTTGGTGCTGCAACTATCAGAAAGGTCAAATGTGCGATTGTAATGTACGGGCACAACGAAGTCGCACGGCAACTTGGGCTATGTACTCTGTAGCGCATTTGGATGCTGAGCACAACGCTTGTTGTGCTTTTGGCGTCGACTTATCACAAAAGTGAAGCGATTCAACTCGCTGAATGAAATTTGTAGGCCGCACACGTACCATTTTGTTGTGATTGCCATTCTCGTAGCCGCCATCAAGCTTTTCTAGATCGGGATACGAACGGTACCTTGAGGGCAAATAAGCGTCGTCGTTCATTACGTACTTGCGTTCGTACATAGGAATCACCATGGCACATTTTCGCAATGATCTGTACGTCACGGGTTCTGCCTGCCATACTGGCAGTTGTATCATTTGAACAGAAGACACGACGCCGATACTGCGCCATCTATCCAGCGCAATGAATGGAAACCTGTCGAATCCGTGACAGTGATGACGTACACCTCTCCATGGAGCGTGCAACAGCGATGCGATGAACAAATTACACCTTTCCTTCTCTTAAGATGTCTGCATCAGATCTTGCAATGAACATCGTGTCGCTGTGAAGAGGTTGAGTAAACGGACTCCTCATCGACATCAGAAACACCAGCAGTCAGCAGTAATATAAACTAGCACGAGTATAGCGATGTTGTGCTTTACTCATCTGTCCTGGGTCGCTCCAAAGAGGTGTTGGCTTCACGTGGCTTCACGCTCGAGGAAAAGCATTGACCTGACCTATTCGTCACCGATCTTTTTGTAGCAACGCCTACAGAGTTTACTACTAAAACGGTTGAGCAAATACGTGTGATGCGTGCATCGTCTTGTACGAGCCGTCCTTGTTGGCTAAAAAGGCGAGCAACGATGCCAAAAAGGTGCCGTCACAAAGGATAGTCAATGGTCTTGCACAAAGCAGATGCGATTGCTCACTCTTGGTGACATCTTGTTGGGTGCACAGGATGTTTGGGAGGACATCTGGCCTTCTCGCAGTCGTACTTAGTACTACTCATGTGAATTATCAAGCTGCACTTCGCTTCACTTCCGTATCGATGTAACAAATCGTCACTACCAGTATACTCTCCTTTCCACATCGTTCTCATTGCGATGCGTTCTTGACACCTGGCTACTTCATTACCGAAGCCTGAGACGGCTTGTGTACGATGGTGACAACCACCGCTACTTTGACAACTACATTGTTTTCTTGTCATCCCATGTCAATCATACCAACTAAATCACAGGAGGTATACGCTTGCAAAAGACTACGAAGCATGTGATCAGTATCGTTGGCAACAGCGAGCTGTCACAAACCCAACCAGGCTGAAAGTAGCTTCCGTCACGTTCGTCTCTATCGAAGTGGGGCAAATTTAAATTGTCCACGCGTCTCCTGTACATGCAGATACATGGGCTTGATTCTACGCAATGCGTCACAATGTACACAATAAGCTCCAAACAGGGAGTGACAAGCGCGAAGAAGATAATAGGGCACCTTGATGGTGGACTAGCTTCAGGAGCTAAAGGTGTGTGAGGTAGAGAAGCTAATCTTGCAACATTTACATCGTGGACAGCATTAATGTCGGGTTAAAGATAAGACCGCCGCTGACCCATTAGTTCATGCCCAACTTGTGTATTTATCTCTTTTCTTTACGAGCACGCTAGAGCACTAAAAGCATGATGGTCTATAGCTTTATACGTTACCACATCCTGGGCTATCCATGATCGACAACACACAAGTATGATCGCGTATTCAGTAGTGCAGCGAAGTAACCGTCGTTTAGACAGCTACTTTTAGTGCACGAACAATGAAGAAGTAGTGGTCGCGGGAATACGAGCCACTTGCTATGGAATACTACAAGAAGAGCATACGTGCTCTGCGATAGCCCGGTAAAGGTGGGCATCGCATGGTGTCGTAGACGTCTTGTTACCTGGCCAGTTAGAGATGATCAAACTCGTCGTTCTGGATCTCTAGCTGCAGTGTCGTCTCTGAGCAGGGCGAGATCCACAGAGTCAGGGCGCTAGTTGCGTAAGGGCCGCTGTGTACGGGGAAGACTTGAGAACTAACTGACACCGACCGCAACGACGGCACTCGCATCTCATCTCGTTCGACACTAGTTCAACGTGCCTTGCCTGCAAAGTGTATCATTCCCGACACAACATGGAAAACGATCGAGCCGTGGTCCAAATGCGCTAGACTTGTTAGTCTATGGATGTGTCTTACCGGATTCATGGTCTCGTTACGGTTGCTATTGGCAAACTACTGCGACAAGCGGCAGAAAAACACACTGCTACCTCTCTACTTCGTACACATATCGATGCCTTCCGCAGACACAGCTTGCTCCGACCAGATGGGGCATCAGAGTATCCGGGCATCAAGGTCCAGAGGACATAAACCGCTCACTTCGCACCTGCGTCTCTTCTTTTGCTCGTGCACCTGTTTGTCGCCGGAAGATGCTGGGCAGCACTTGTCGCACGGCACATGCAGTCGTCGCATACGTTCCACAGCTCTTGGTCTTTCGGCATTTCTAGAACATCTCTCGTGCCTTCTGGCATCAAGTGTCTAACTCTTGAGCGAGCACTATCGTGCATTTTGTCCCTATGGCGACACTGACGATGCAGCGACGTTCGGTTGAGCTTAGGTGTGAAGAATGGCGTGGCTGGAGGCTGTGGCTATCGAAAGCACCAGCGAGTTACACGATCATGATAACAGGCGACCGGTTCCTACAACAACGATCAGTAGCAGCCACCCTTGACTTCGCTTGACGAAATTTTGATACTTTGACAGTGGGTAACATGCCTTGGAACACGCAGCGCGACGATACCGCTCACTTCGCGTCTCTGGCAAGATTTTGCAAGAATGAGAGGTTGCAGAGAACGTCACAACGGTCCATTACTAGAGAAACTCATGGCTTCAAAAACGTCTGCACTTCACGCTTTGCCATCGAGTTCATTCACATACAATGATTCGCTTGACCTTAATCTCCCTTCGCCGTCAATCTGCCTCCCCATGCAGGTCGACTACCATAAAAACTTACTTGAGAAGCCGAGTGGAGCGGCTATCTCTGTTCTCTAGAAATCAGCCGCCAGCAAATTGTCCAAGACTGGGCGTCGAGCCAAAATTATCGCACGAATTTTCGCTTGTAGGCAAGTCGATGAAAAAATACTCTCGTATCTACCTCCTCGATTCTCCACGACGGACAGGGTCTGCTCTGTTGTGAGTAAATGTGCTGTCCCGTATCAAACAGGAGTACTTTTTGCTCGTACGTCTCCTTCTGTTTCCAGCATACGTGCAGTTATGTGTTGATACGGATGGACGGTGGGCAGACTTGACAGCTCTGCGGGAACGTGTCTGTTCCGATTCGTTTGGCTCCGAGTAAAGAAAGCACGGGATCATCCTGATTGAGCTACTCTACCGGATTCTTTTTGTGCTTCAGCCTACAGCAGCAGCAGCAGCGTGTCTCTCTTGAGCATCATCGTCTTGACATCCGGTACTTCAGCGATTCACCGGGACTTCAAGTTGCCATGGCTCCATAACCTGGCCACTCGTCCTTTTGTGGCCTATTCTTACCACCTTCAATATCCTCGCCCCGCCTCTTTGAGCCCAGTACAGAAAGCATTGGCCTGAACAACTGGATCGTCCGTTGTTCTCAAAGGAGGTAGTAATGGTCGATAGAGCTCCAGCCAAAAAAGCGCAGTTGTGAAGCTGAGCTGAGCTTGGGTCGGGACGCTTTTCAGCTACTCTCGCCAAGCAGACCTAACGTGGCGTCGCTGCCAATCCCATCTGACGATTCCCGCAGGTGGAGACCGTATGCGAGCAGCGTGTTAGAAAAACAAAACACCCTCGAGGACCAAGTAAGTAGTGTCTCTGAACAAAGTGACCACTCTAAATCGATGAAAAAAAACTCGCGCAACAGATAAAGACCGATCGTCTTCAAATCAATCGACTGAACGACTGACTGACTGACTGCACCGAGGACAATAGCAGGTCGAGTCATTCTCCTTTTTGCAGCCTTCTGATCGCACACGCAGCTACATATAGCACCAAACTCCTGCTACTACAACTACCACTACCTCAACTACTACTAGTACTTCCACTTTGACCAATGCCCCGATCGTGCTGGACGCTCGTCCTTCTGGTCGTAGTGACCACCAACCTCTTTGGTTCTTTGGCTTTCCACTGGCCATTCACGAGCCCCGATGACGAAGCTGCTGCTACCCCAACGTCAACCGCCCTCCTAGATACCAACCCCGCAGTTGTTCACCCATCCCCTGCATTGGGTCCAGCCACCGCCCCCTTAACGATCCCTCCTACCACGCCTCCTCACCATAACCTCGATGCGCTCGTCGCCTCTGCTGGTAAGCTCGAGCTCGACGCCGAAGGTAGGGGCTCCTTTATTGACACCTCGTCCCTTAAACTGAATTTCACGGTGGCCAAGGCGACCACAGCTCTGAGTGACATTGTACCGACGTATCGCAATTGGGTCGGTCCTCGTGCTTCTGCTCCGGATGCTGCTTGTTACCGGGAAGCTCATATCATGAACACGTGCCCGACGAACTTCGACCGCAACGAATTGACCAACACTTGCTGGGCTGAATGCCCCCTTGCTTACCCCGTTGAGTGCGGTATTGAATGCATTCGGCAAGGGGACGACTGCACCATGGAAGCACTGAACAAAGTCGGAGCCATTATGAACTCGGCGCTGGCCATTGGGTCTATCGGATCAATGTTCAAGTTCTGGCCACTCGCCAAGCAAGTGACACGGGCTTTTGATTGTGCCAATATGATGATCGGCTCGATGCGTGCGATCATCCGGTACTTGCGTGGCGTCCAGACCGCGTACCCAACAGCACCGATGGACCGGATCCTTGCCGTCGTGTACCAATCCAACAACGTTGTCACGGATCTACCCATGGCCATTTACTTGTGCATGGGGTGGGAGTTTTCAAGACCGCTGGATATTGCGGGTCGCGTGCTCACGTCCATGAACTGGATCCTGTTGAACGCTGTCATTTACAAGGACGATATCTTCTCGAGCTGGAGCAAATTCAAGGCCTTCTTGATCGGTGCCAACTTTACCGAAGCAGTCAATCACATCAATGAGACGGAGATTGGCACACTCAGTGACGCGCTCAAGTCGAAATCGAACTGTGGCTACAACCTGCGGGCTTTGACAGATCGCACTTGGAATACCGTGCACCAGCTACGAGCAGACTATCCGGGCATTTCCGAGGATGACCTGCGCTTGAAGATGCAGAACACGCAGCTCGTGACTTCGGACATTGCGATCGCGACGAACAATTGCATGGATCAGCTGATTCTCGAGTCGGATGAAGCCACGGCGTACGTCACGCGGGAGAAGATTCGCACGGCTTTTAGTGCCATGATCAACCAGCTCGTGTCGAAAGGCACGAGTAATAATGGCACGACGGAAGATTCGCGCGAGTTTATGTATCTCGCGTTGAGCAAGACGCTTATTTCAATTGCTGTCACGGGTACCGATCTCATCGGTGTCACGGGTTTGTTTGTCACGTATCTTCAGCACGTCTGTGGTCCGACGAATTTCATGGGCGAGATCGACGATGGCACGGACCCCAAGACGCTGGGGCTCACTATCATTGGCAAAGCGTTTAATAAGACGACCATGTCCTGGACGCGCAGAGGAGATGGTGCCGTTATTGTTGATTTCAAGAGCACAGACACGAAGAACGTCACGGTGAATATCATGTCGGGAGGGGACAAGGTTGATGAAGTCGAAGTCCATGCCGGGGGTGCTGCCCGGTGGAAGTCCAACATCACCGTATTAGGCGGCAAGACCTTGTACTTTGATCGCTGGCGAGCCGGATTCCTAGGTCTGCCTGGTACAGGTGGAGGCTCCCTGCTTCTATGGGTACCTCATTCGTCAGAAGGTGGACACTTAGAACTGCAGGTGGTGCTAAATGTGACCTAGATGTAGGACAGGAAAGTAAAAGATTGAGCTGTGCGTGAACTCGATGGGCAGTGGCAAAGACTAGTATGACGAAGTAGCTGTGCACGTGAACAAATGCCACACCATCGAAGCTACTTCCTCTTTCATGAAGATTCCTAGCAGGGCAGTTGACTAATACTACATAGCTCACACCACTCTGCATTAGCGATAAAAAAGAGCTATTCAGAAAATAAATACAGAGCAATGATAACTTCCTCTTTGTAGCGTGTAGTTGTGTCCTCTATTGTTCATTGCTTACGTATTTTTCAAGTAGCGGCTCGATAGTATCAAAAGCCCCTTCCTGTTCAAGATCAAGGAGTAGTTTCAAGTCGGTCAAACCACGGATACAAGGTACATTTGTGGAGCAAGTAGTGACTGAGAAAAGCTTGCAATTCACAATGACTAGGGTCTTTGTAGTGGCGTTCGTTCAGCTCCACTTGGTCCTTGATCAGCTTTGTGAAGCAGCCTGACGTTGCGACCATACTGAGGAACGTTCTGATGAGTAGCACCGAACAGATCTGCTTCCGGTGATTCTGACGCAGGCACCTAGTGTCCATGACCTTGTACCAAAAATCTGACTTGGTATACTTGAACTTCAACGAGCAGGTCAGGTCTTGGGATGCCTGGACGGGGGATTTGAGAGGCAGTAATGGGACCTGTGTCGACACGTCAATCATTGGTGACACAGGTTGCTATCAGAAGCGCAGAATGCGCAGATGTTTTTCCTGCCTCGCAGTGACAATGGTCAAGACGAGGATTTGGCACTGTCTTGCTCTAGCTTCAATGTAGCAGTCAAACGGCTTATTGAGAACGTTGTCTAATGTGTCAAAGTTAATGCAATAGACGTCGAGGTTTGTCGCTGTAGAAGGGTAGACAGCGACAAGAACGAAAGTGCTCCTGGAGTTCACGTTCACCTTGCTGTCGCTAGACACGTTGGACCAACGTAGTCCAGTTATAAACGTCACATCATGATCGAAGTGTCAATGTTGGTGGTTGGTCTCCCTGACGTCGATCAGCAAAACGTCGTGTCTTCAACTATGTCACTGCGACGTGAATACCCGTTTCAAGGAATTTGGATTTTTGCTACCACACGTGCACAGCGCAAGCTAGAAGGCCACTTGGTTGTACTTCATGATGCTTTTTTACTTGTATACGTTCGACGCACATACCCTTGTAGTTGTGGAACGGATACGACCCCGTTCCAGGGTGACTTGCCTTTCGTGCTTATCGAACATGGTAAGGCATCCATGCCATTTTGACAATGTTCTGCTTGTGACGCGGTCATCACGTCTAACAAAGCTGGACGACGTCGTACACTAAAAGTACTGCACTAGATGGTTTTCCATCGTAAGCTCGTGGAGATCGTAGCGAGTTATTTAGTGGTCAAGGACGACAAACGCCTTGGCGAAAATTTCCGCAAGATTGCAGGAGGCCACGCAGACGTCACACATTTAGAATGCGAGTTTGATAGTTTAGACTAAGCGACTTCGTTGGCTGCTTTCGTAGTATGATAATACGCCTCATTAAGGACCACATAAAAGCTTTTACAATAGCCTACGTGCAACATGATCTGACAGGTAAGCGCGCGAATCGATCAAGACATGTTGACTGAACGACATTTCACTTCCTCGTGTTCGCACAAACAAGCAGATGCATGTTTATGTGTATTCCTACAAAAGCGCATGAGACCTAGTCCTCGACTCGTTCGTGACTATCGAGATCTGCCTTTGAAGTTATAGCAGGTTACAGAAGGATCCGAATGCCCGTCCATATTGCGCGTATAAGCCAAATGACTGACAGACACCACGGCGCTCCATATGCAGTGTGATGAAGTCTGTGGGCAAAGGTTTTATAGCTCACACGATGCGTCTCTACTAGCGTTGTCCTTTCGTGAACTGAAGCAGGCAGGTCTGACTGCTAGTGAAATATGTCAGTCACTCTACGATTAGCTCAGCTCTTGCTTGTGAAACTTCTAATGCAAAATGTAAGCTGAACCAGTAAGAGCAGTGGCTGGGCTTTTACTGCAGCTCGAGTGCTATTTCCGTGCCGTTGAATATCATTTAGCGGCGCGTTCCAACGTTTGCCTGTTCATTACCTTTCCAGGCGCGGGCTCATAAAAGAGAACATCCGAGTCAATACTAAGGACTACACCGGCTTTGTATGTTGGTGCGTGTGTTGCGCTATCAATTTGGCTTCACCTATGACTGTTGATTGGCATTATAACGTACCTCGCAAAAATAAATTCTTGATTTCCAATTGAATACCGCTCACTCACGATATCATGGTCATTTCTGCGCGTTGTGACGAAAACGAGCTGAAGCTTGTGATGGACTGTTGCAGAAGTTGTCGATGAAAAGTTATAATTGAATCGAGTGGCTTAATGATGCTCTCCCATAATCAATCCTCCTGTACCCTACATATCCACTAGCTACACAAATGCATTGTTGTCTTCACGCTAATCGGTCCGTGTGTCCTGTGCGACGATGACTGCACCGATACAAATTAAATCTTAAACGGGGTTACACAAATGGTTGTGATAACCAGGTACGCTGGTGTGATAAACACAGAAAGAGACCATTGTCACTAAGGGGTGGACCCCTGGTGTAGTGGCGCAGTAATCTGACTTCCAAGTCGCTGATTGCGGGTTCGAACCCCCCCGGGGGCCGAACCCGGAATTGGTAACGGGTGAACAGCTGAATAATCATGCCTTCCACCAACAAACCATCTGGGAGATGCCGTAAAAAGTATAATGTGACGAATTCAACCATTGTCACTAATAACCCGTACTATTGTATCAGTTACGCTAAGCGGTAATACCGTACCTATCGATTGTGGTTAGAGGGCATCTATCGTAATAGGGTCTTCGTAGAGGCGACGTAGTTCTAATGTGGTACACAAGAAGAACTACCATGAGGACTATTCGATTAAGTAGCACAAAATCGTAAGCAAGATCTGTTATCGCTATAAATCAGTTAATACATTCAGTTTCCCTTTTAATCAGTTTCAGACACGTGTCTTTCTACGACGTCTCTGGTCGTAAGAGTCAAGTGCCAGAGTAGAGGCTAAGTACTGTTGGGTATCAGTACCACGTGATCCCTTGTAATCGTAGTCCCCTGAACCAGGACTAGGAGCTTCATAGCGTGTGCATGCACTTAAAGTCAAGTCTCACCAAGTCTCCAAGAGTTGAGGTCCTTTTAGTTTATACCCGTTTTGTTTGATATACTAAAAACTCTACGAGTCTGGAAGTCTTCCTCTGACTGAGGAGTCAGGGTAGCTCCATTACACTTGGTAGCACTTGTAGCGAATATATAGAAGAGTCTATTAAAGGCAGCACCTCGTGAGGATAAAAGAAAGAAAATTAAACCTCTTTAAGGCACAAAGATTAGCGCTAATGAAACTCAGAGCGTTAGTCAGGAACAAAGAAGTGGATCTAATGCTTGTAAAATGGCCTGACGTGATTTGTGCATATCCTAACGCTTTTATATAGTTAAGTCCACTTTGATTTGGCAAGTAAACGATCTGTTGGCATCGGCTATGCCTACTCGGTATGATCCCATACCCGATGAAGAGCCAAGGACTCGCCCCCTTGTCTTGGCTGTTAATGAAACGGGGTGAATCGTTACATAACAATTTATTAGAAATTGTTTATAGAATATAACTATAAGAGTTATATTCTCAGAATATTGTCATAAGGACAAATATTCTGTAGCACTTACAAGTAGTTCCTAATTGGTTGATATAGGCCATTATATCAACCAACGAAGACGCGCCACGACAGACGCACGCAACGAGTGGTGAGCAGATAACTGATTTACACATTTGTATTTAGACATAGTCAGTAGATGAAGATAAATAGTGATTTATTGCAGACATTAACTATTATAAATACAGTTCTACTTTTTACTCTAACCAAGTACTCGCTTCTTCCTACCGTCTTCCTCTGCACGTACCAGTGTACGTGAAGTTACGAGGCACCGCCTTATTCTGTCATCAGAATAAGTAGCTTGTACTGTCACCAGTACAAGCTTCAGGGTGCCCCGTTACACCTGGTAGCACTTCGTAGTCCGTCCAAAGACCGCGTTCACATCCAACATGAATATGTTGGATGATGAAGATGACCAAAGCTTTCACGCTACGCGTGACGGCTACTCCCATTTGAGCGATGTCGAATTGGATGCGGTTGAACGAATGGGTTCTACCATGGGCATCCATGCTGTTAGCGTCATGCTAGAGGCTCTCAATAGAGATGCCCAACATGCTACTATCGCCAAGTTCATTCAAAATGAACTTGACGCAGAACGCGAGAAAGTAGCCTTGCTTCACCAACAAGGTTCTCAACAAGCAGAGTTGTTGAGAGAACAGGGTGCTCAACAGTTTGAACTGTTGAGACAGCAGCAGGCTGCTGCTGGTGGGTCGATGCATTCGCGTCGACCCGAGACCTTGAAGATTGACATCTCCAAGTATAGGGGAGTCGAAGAGGACTCTCTCTTGAGATGGTTCGTTGAATTAGACGACGCTATAAGGGCGCGTCGCATCGACGATGGGGATATGCAAGCTGCATTTGCCCGGCCTAATCTGGCAGGACGTGCCAAGACTTGGGCACTGGGGCTTAAGCTGCACGACCCATATGCGTTTGGGTCGTTGGAAGTCTTCAAGTCGCGGCTCAGACAAACGTTTGAACCGCCTAGAGCTGAGTTCAGGGCTCGGACCGAACTCTTGAAGCTCAAGCAGGGTAAGCGTGATGTGCACGCTTACGCTCAACATATACGACATCTCACGAGTTGTATAAGTTCCAATCCGGTGGATGAACACACGTTGGTTTCGGTGTTCATGCAGGGTCTTGCGGATGGTCCCGTCAAGACTCACCTGTTCCGACTTGAACTAGATTCACTAGAACAAGCCATTTCCATTGCGGAGCAGGAAGACTTCAGTCTGAGACAGGCTCGCGCCAGCTCGACATCATATCGTCAACCGAGACGATATGACAACGGAGGTCCAGAGCCGATGGAACTCTGTTATGTAGAGAGCGAGAAGGCTCGCTCTACAGGCTACAAGAAGTTGCAGAGATGCAACAGATGTCAAAAGACAGGACACTACGCTTACGAGTGTAGTGCCCCTCGTCCAGTGTCTCGCGACACTGGGCGTAGTGACCGTCCACCCATGATAAAGGGGCAGGGACGAGGGTCCGCAGTTGGTGCAAAGACGCAACAACGGGATGGACCGTCAAAAAACGGACAGGATCAGTAGGTGCGGAGCACCCTACTGGTCCAGCAACGTCAAGATAATTTGTAGGCCTCTTGATGAAGGTTGCTCCCAACACACAAACGTTGTGCGTTGCTGCTCTAGGTAATGAGGTCTCACTCATTACCTTGAAACTCGAAGTGACGAATAAGTTGTTCCTTCGAGCTCTAGTCAATTGTGGGGCGTCCAACAATTTTGTGCGACGCCAATCGCTAGAAGATGGTCACTTTAAATTCAGTGAATGTGACACACCTCCTACGAGGATGACGGTACGTCTTGCGACAGGCGCATCCGTAACCGTCATGAAGCGTATAGTGAAAATCCACTATACGCTAGAAGATACCCAATATGACGATGACTTTATCGTATTGGATTTGGATGACAAATTTGATGTCATCCTTGGAATACCGTGGCTCAGAAGGTACGAACCACGAGT